CAGGTGGCCGGAGGCCCTTTTTACTGGAAATGAGGCATTCCATCTTAATCCTCACGGGTGACAACGCATCTGCATTTTGATTTGTAATAGAGGATAGATGTAGATGTCTATGGGCCGCAGCAACCACTTACCATCAGGTGGACTGTGTGCTCGTTTGTCACCCTTATCCTATAAAAAATATTTGACTGTAACATTGGCAAACGTAATGATTAATTTCGAGGATATTATTAGCCACTTCTTTCAGCAGGGTTACCCTATCAATAGAGTTAAAAGCGTTCCTTAGGTCAACCTTCACAAGAATATCTGCATCAGAGTTGATTAAAAATGTACGCACTGAAGGTACCGCCGCCTCACAGCCCCCTGTAGTGCCAAAGCCTAGTTGAGTAGGCTGAAATTTTGTTTTAAGGTTAGAGATTATGTGCCTGCAAGTTAATTTTGTAGCTAAGCGTCGAAATGTGGAACCAACTTCAATAGGACGAATACTGTTATCCTTTTTATTGAAGGCACATAATCTTGCCCCATATAAGAATGGAATGAAATTTGGGTGAACATTTCCAGAAAGCATAAAGTTACATAATTTTGTAATGTCATTAAGAAGTACACCACCGGTGTCACGGGCAGAAGCACTTGCAAGATCTTTAAGATGTTAAGGCTTAATTCCGTCAATGCCACCAGCAGAGCCTTTCGAAAATTACATAATTGCTTCTAAAGTGTCTTTTTCATAAATTTGGTAAAAGTTGCAAATAATTTAAAAGATTAAGTAAATAATTTCTGCCAACTCTTTTCACTATTAGTGAAACAATTTTGAATAGTCCATGTCAATGCTTTAACAAGCTGCATCCTCGTACCTCTGGGAATTCTTTTAACCACTGGTACATTACGTTGATAATTAATTATCAACGTAATGTACCTGTTGACAAGACTGTCAGCCTTAATTTATACGTTTGTTAGTAGAAAGGCTAGATTTAAAATGGGATCTAATAATATACACGCCTATGATACGGTATTGAAGTTATTATCAAAATCAGCATGCAGCAGTTCACTTTTAAGCATAGGCGCACGCATTTAGTTTTAATGTACTATGGTGATTCAGTTGCTCTCAACCAACTTACGCAAATCGTCTTTCCATCTAGCCAGGAGGCGTCGCACATTACATTTACACATTATTCAATTCTGCGCCATTGGACTAGCCACAAAGTAATTAATAAGAAAAAAATTAATTATACAAGATTATATATAACTCAGTGCAGATCTAAATGATAAATAATTATACTCATATTGTAAAACAACAAAAAGTTTTATACAGTGTTGTCATTATCGTTCTTAAAGGACTCGCAACAAACAAAATATCATTATAATAACATGGATGAGTAGACATCGGACACAAACAAAGCAAACAGCACCAACAAATTACATTAAATCAAAGATAATCCTGTCAATTAATTGGACTTAACATTGGAAACCGGTCGCTGGCGCATGCGCGAATTGAGCGAGTCAAGATTATGTGAGAGTAAAGAAACCTCACAGTGACTAATATAAATGAACTTGGGTTACCGAATTAAAATTTAGATGCATAGAATTCTTAATAATTTTGGAAATATATACATATAAAGTATCATAATTATCAACATCAATACAGTACTTCACAGACCCACAATTGAACATAGGCCTCCTCCAAGGAATGCCACAAAGCACGGTCCCAAGCCACTATCGACTTCCTGCATAATATCTTACCGGGTCGTCACTCCATCTAGTGAAGGACCGCTCTACACTTCGTCTACCAGTACGTGCCACTCGAGAATATTTCTCCCCATCGGTTGTCGGTTCTTCGAGCTATATGGTCGGCCCATTGCCACTTTACTAATCCGTTGGGCTATATCGGTTACCCGTATTCTACTACGGATATCCCTTTTTACCTATATCTATACAAATAAATAAAATTTAAGTGTCTTTTTGTAATGTCAAAATTACAACTTTTTACTAAACGCACATGGAAGTATATACGGTACTTATAACAAAAATACAATTTTTAAAGTTTTTGTCTATCTGTCTGTCCGTCCGTCTGTCTGTCTGTTTATTCCGGCTAATCTCCGAAACGACTGGACCGATTTTGACGGGATTTTCACTGATAGATAGATGATGTCACAAGGAGTAACTTTTTTATTTCAAAAAATAAATAAAACTCCAAATAACACGCGGACGAAGTCGCGGGGATCAGCTAGTTTTCAAATAAAGTAGATATAACTAAAATATATAGATATTTATCAATATAAATATATATAAACATTAAATGATAAGATCAGACATACGTCGGCATACGGTCTAAATGATAGGGTAGGTTATGAAAAAGTAACCACACTCTTAACTATTAGCAAAACTTGCTTAACTGGTGGTAAAAGTAAAAAAATAACGTTCAATAAGAATTACTTGTAATATTGAATAAAAAATATTCTATTCTATTCCATTTCTGCCACCAAATAAAAATGCGTGGCCTGCTGTGTTTTCGTCCGGAATCGTATAGAGAGCCACTATAATTTGGGACTGTAAGGCATCCCATCTTAGTCCTCAAAGTTAACAGCGTATCTGTACCTTTCTTTACTTAAAGTTGTTAGCATGTGTGCATGGACTTCATTAACCACTTACCATAAGGTGGATTGTAAGTTTGTTTATCTCTTCAATTTTATAAATAGAAAGCTAACAAAAACGTAGATGTTGAACCAAAGAAGCCCACGAAACATTCTATCCTATCAAGCTGTTAGTAGCTTGAAAAGACTAAGATTTAATACAACTTACAGTTTTTAAGAGCCGTGGTAAGTCAGGACGCGGTCGCCGTAAAACGCGAGCAACCCGGGTTAGATCCCCGCGGGCACTAATGAAATTGTTAATTGCAATTTTAAGTGCTAATTTACCACGTGCTCATAGGTGCAGGAAAACATCGCGAGAAAACCTGCATGTAGAGAATTACGGTATATTTCGAAGACATATCCGTCAACACGCATTGGGACAGCACGGCGGACATTTTCTTGGCCTTCATCCCTCTCAAAAATGAGAGGAGGCCTGTACCCAGGAGTCCCACTATCTATATAGGCTGTAACTTTTAACTTTAATACTTTTTAATTTCAGTTTGTTTGTCTCCTTAAATCATCTATCCGCTTATTGTGTGATGATACTTTCAATTAAAAACAAATGCTTTAAGCAGGATACGGAAGAATTGAACGATTTTAATTTCGAAAAATTACTAGGTTTTTTTTTCTTTTAAAAGCGCCTAATCCCGCGTCCGTGGCGGGGCGATTGCCGGCTGACAGTGACACATCGGTACAAGGCCCGTTGTCCGACTGTAATTCTACCCGATACTCGGGTCTCGCACAGGGTACGGATATCGTTTATATACGACGAAAACCCAATTAATAGACGTTACTTTCATATTCAAAACCGGGGGTGGCTTTAATCCTACTTTCACTCTAACAGAACAAGTTAAGTGAATGATAATATGAAGAAAAAGAGTCACAGAAAAAAATGATACAGTTATTATGCGAAAGATAGAAATAGAAATAGAGTTTGGGAAGTCTCGATGTTCGGAAAGTTCTGGAAAACGGCATAGCTCAAAGTCCCGCGGTACTTAGAGATTTAAAGTGAAAACAGAATCCAGTACGTTTTGCGTTATTTATTAATAAAATCGCCTTTTAATTAATATAATATCAAATTGTAACACATAACATTAATAAAATGTTTAATTACATAAACTCGGATATACAATTATTTCAATGTTCTGTAATGTTATTTTTGTAACATTTCAATGACAAACTAATCTGCAGTCCACTTTGAAGGTAAATAGCAACTGCAGCCCACAGACACCTGCTTACAACTACATATAAATATTCTAGGTTAGGACAGGTTATAGACGTAGCATGTTTATCTTTTAGTTGTCTTTGACAATGACTCTTTGTCTTGCAATAGGAAGTTTTTAGGGTGTTAAATTAAAACATAATTACGTGTAAACTTGCTACCGTGTTTCTATTATAACAATTTAAATCTTTAACGTGCCCATTTGGAGTGCTTGAAGTCAAAATCGAGTATCGTTCAAAGCGAGTCGATCAATCACCATCCATTAAACAAGAAAAGAAAAGCGGTTTCCCCCAACCGCTGGGCCTGAATCGGCCCAATTTACATGAGAGCCGCTTTTTCCTCGCATCGAGATTAGCCCCCGAATGAGTTTGATGAATTGTTCGCACCCCGCAAGCCCGGACACCGCGAGCGGTCATTTGTTAAAAATACACCCGATCCACGGATCTAATTGTCTCCTCTAATTTCACACTCCCCCGTGATATCTGTTCGTTGTTTAAATTAAGTACCGTTTTTATTTTAAATTCACTCGTTTAATTTGTCCAACTAACTAAAAATAGAAGAATTACATAAATTAAGACAATTTTTATTGTATAATCAATACATCAATACATATTAAATATGGGTAGAGAATATATAATAAGTAATCTATGGTATTTACTATATACTTTTCCTCGACAGATATTATATATAGATTGGATTACTTAAATTACAAAACATTTTCTCTAGTTGTTTGATGAAACGAAACATTTGAAATCATTCTTGGTATTAGTTTAATCATCGTTTTAACAATGCTAAGTAAAAACTAGAATCTACTAGATTTTTAATTTTACATGAACATGATCAATTTACTTTAATAACCGAAAATAAAATACGACAATAAAAGGGATTAATCAAGCGATATTTATAGCTCATTTAAACTTGACAACCAGTTGTGAAAATTCATTCTTTATCGTTTATTGTCTAAGATTGATAATGTTTCTCTCTTTCATTTCTTTTATACCACACGCAATACTCCACAACATCAAAATTCATGTAGCATACAACTAGACTCAAATTCTGACATTGTGAAGTTTGATGTTAAACTTAAGATTCTCTCTGAATACCGGTCTATTGGTGTACTCATTACATTGAAGGTAAGCATATAAACTCCTTACCTTTCTAGATGTTTAACGATGTCTTCGTAAGCTGCTCTACAATTCTCCCAAATACCAGATCTGTTGACAAAGGAAATAAAATAAGAAAAACGAGAAAGATGTAAAATAAATTTAAGTAAAAATAGAAAAGGATGAATCAAAGTAACAAAGCGAGGCTCAGAATTTTTATATTGCACAATAATAAGACGCCAAAGACAAAACTTGCAGCAAAGTGTTCCCGAGTATTGAAAAATAAAAGTTCCCGAATGAAAGGGTTTAAATGTTAAAGGAATAATTATGAGCACTCAATATTAAATGTTCCGTTAGGTTGAACGAGGGGCCGAAGAAATTAATTATGTTTTTAAAACAATCGTTTATATTTGTACTGTAACAACTCATGCGTGATCGTTGAAATTGTTTCTCAATTACTTTGGCTCTTTGTTTTCCATTAAACTTTTTTTCGACTTTTGGGACCGACAAGAAATAATAATATATAGTTATATAGCAAAATTGAAACTAAAGTTGCATCCTCTATATCATATATTCAGAAATGAGGTGAGTTCGCCATACTGCTACAGTGCTTGGAAAAAAATATTCTTGTTAATATTAAGACCAATGTCGAAAGAATATAGTCTTAAATGTTATCTAGCTCGTTCGCAATTTTCTGAGGATCAATAAAATAAAACATGTGTGCAGTACACCTTCAGAAAAGGAGACCGAGATAATAGGAAACACTGCATACTATCTCATTCTCTAGCAGCCTAAATCCTGTTGATGTATATGTTTGTCTCTTTTTCGTTTCATCGAGTTTCAAATTACAACGATGCTAAAGATGTTTTCACTTCAAAAATAAAAATAAAACCTATTGCAATATTTATTATATTACTAGCTGTTCTCCGCGACTTCGCCCGCGCGTAATTTATTATGATTTGATTTCATGGGTTTTAATTTTTTGCGCAGAACCCTAATTCTTTTTCTATAATAAAAGTAGCCTAAGTTACTTCTTATAACATCAGCTATCTGCCAGTGAAAATCCGGTTAAATTAGCCGGAACAAAAAGACAGACAGACAGATAGACAGACAGAAAGACAGACAAAAATTTTAACAATCATGTTTTTGTTATAATTACCGTATATACTTTCATATGCATATAGTAAAAAGCTGTTATTTTGACATTACAAACAGACACTTCCATTTTATTTATTTGTATAGATGTATAGATTAACAAACCCGACGGATACCAATATACACTGCTACCAGACAATCAAAGATCTGGCGACCTACTAAAGGCCGAATATCCATCTATATATATATTATAGAGAACTCAAAAGCATGACTACCAATGCACGAGTAGTCATCAGTTCAGTGCTTACTAACCTGCGTGGTCTCTATGTAACGTTCAGAACTGGATTAAAAAGCTGACAATAAAATCAAAAGGAAATCAAATAATTAATATTTAGCGATGACAAATATTTTTCTATTCATGAGAAAATGAACATCCTATTATTTGCGAATAGAATACAGCGACATAATGAGATAGTAAAGCTTCGGTGACGTCACCCGTCACCTAGTGTGTTAGCGAACATGTGTAAAACGTACAGGCGATATTGAATCACATAGGGGGCAGTAAGACAGTGGGGTAAGTCAAGTGAGCATTGTGGGTCTTCGGACGGAAGTGAGGGCATTCAGTGTTTATACTTTTCTTATTGGATTAGCGTACTTAGACGTTTAACCTGATGGCATCGTTATTGACCCGCTAGAGGGTTTCTTTTTGTAAACTTAGTGGTAAGTAAGCCGATTTGTGGCTAGATTGCCGGCATTTTCGGCATTAATTGTTTCAACCTTGAATCGTTTCAGCTAATAGGTGTTTAATTTTAACGTTTTTATTTGCTGACGGTGTGATCATTGAATACAGAGTGTATTGTAATAGCTAATTATTTGCGAAAACAAAATTGACCTATACATTTTTTATATTATAAAATTATAACTTGGCACAAAATTTGTATTGACTTTTATAACTGTATGCTAGACTGTAGGTTTAAGCGGTGTGGGAGCACCATAAAGGTCGACACATAAAGTGATGAAAGTGACGTCGCATCTCCTCGCAATACTTTGATGCGTGCATCGTAAAGCACCTTGCCTTGCCAATTATCTTGCTGAGGAACTATCTGCCAAGGATCATACTAAGAGTGTTTTTCGTCTAAAGTAAGTTGTCTTTTTAGTCTAAAGTAGATATTATTGAAAGAATAATAAACAGGTAAGATACTGAATTAATGCTAAGTAATCCACTTAGAATTAATTCAGAATCTTATTATTGTGATTAAATCCCCTAATTGCAATTTTTTTGTAGTTACAAAATATTAAGAACAGACGGAAACTTAATTGACTATCAATACGAATAAATAAAATTGAAGTGTCTAATTGTAATGTATATTTACACATTTAAAAAAAATTGTCTGTCTGTCTATTTGTTCCGGCTCATCTCCGAAACGGCTGGACCGATTTTAACGGAACTTTCACTGGCAAATAGCTGATGTTATAAGGAGTAACTTAGGCTACTAATATTTTAGAAAAATAATTAGGGTTCCGCGCACTAAAAATAAAAACCTAAATTACACTCAGGCGAAGTCGCGGGGAACAGCTAGTTTTATAATAAGAATAATAATTATGCTCATTTATTAAGCATTCTATCGCGTAACATATAAAAATATAATTGAGGAAGGAAACACCGGCTGCCATTTTAAATCGTGTATCAAGAACACTTAAAAGAAAAACTTGAAAGAACTTTCACAAGTTTACATCCCATTGGTGCAACACGGTATGCAATGTATGTCGCGAACTTTTACGTTTCGTTGTGTATCGATTCGTTGTGGCCCTTAAAGAAACCATTTATACCCCATCTTATTCCACGGGTGTCATTAGCGGGGACTTAGGGAAAGGTCGAGAAGTTGTTTATGGCTTCCGATAGATGGCGGTATAACCATTTTATATTTATATCAGATAAATATCGCCAGACCAGCGGGAAGCAGCGTGAAATAATATGAGTCGTATGGCCGTGATGGCCGATCGGCCTACCTAGTGTCAATCAAGGTAAATCGTCTTTACTTTGATGATGATTAAGGAGGGTTGAGGTAGAGATAGGTGCGCTCAAAATAACTTCTATTACCAACATACATTGAGTTATATGTACCTACTACGTACTAGAGAAGCTATTCCAAACAAAAATTGTGCGCTACTCTATATCTTCGCGCATGCGCGGAAGATAGTAAAGTCTACAGAATACATGTACCCTGACGGGGTAGAGTCGCGCATGTCCGAATACTTTAAATTAATATAAAATAAATATAAGAATTTACTATAAAACACTCTTATTTTAATCTAAACAAACATATTTCTAAATAAAATGTAATAATAATTATTTTGTGGAATTCACAAATCTTCAATTTACGCAATATTTAGTTTAGTGTACGCATTGCACTACAGTACAGTTGAACATAGTCAATGTTCGGAATGCGAAATCTAGTGCGTAGTACATATATATGGATACCAACATAAGATACATTTGTCGCATTTGAAAGCATCTTTACTGACTAAAAATTTTGAGTTCTACTACATCATCTAGGCTACGGCACTGTTATAAAAATTGGTAAAAAGTTGTTTCGGACTTCGGTGATTAAAATATGTCACAGTATTCCATCTCTCATATAAAAAGCCGAATTTTTTTTACGCCGCCTGACATTTAATGTAAATAAATTTTGGTAATGTTTTTTTAATACGTTATTCATAAAATATTTCGAGTTTCCGTTGGTTTATTTATCAATCGTTAAAAACTGAAATAGATCACAATGTGTACTCACCGTGCCACTGGCCGGACAAAATAATACCTAAACAAACTACGAGTATAGTCGCGCCATGTTTGGAACACCACAATTTTCATGACTTTACCAATATCCGTTACAGGATAGTTTTATTGCTTTTAAAATTTTTATTGTACACAAGGCACGACAAGTCAATTAACTTTTATTAGATCCGTTGTGGATATAACAAACCATCTATCTGAAGTTATTATCAATAAGGTATCAAACAACAGTGTCATGCAGAATCTTGTTTTGAAATAAAGGCTAACATCTCCTATTATTAATCACATTAATAATTAAGGCGACTAGTCGAACTATCGATAGCCTGTAGTTAACGATAATAATATTGAAAGAGTATAAGTATATTATATATCCAAATCTCAGATAATATTTCAAATCTATGCACAATTTATCTGAACTAATACCGCAATGGAAAAAAAAATAAAACGAATAAGACGTTTTTAAACGAGTCATATATTTTTGCAATAAGTAAAAAAAGCTGGAATAAATATCTAAACAACTTAAATTGTTATGATTGTTGGAAAAACTCGTAGAATATAATATTATTAACCGACGTAGGATAATGTTATCAGAATTATGCTTAATGAAATTAATATTATTTACTCGTATTTGTCATTTCTTCTTATCAGACATAATGAGATTTCCTATTAGACTTATACGAACGTCAGATTTAATTTCTATTTCAATAATATGATAGATAAACTGAGTCCATCTTATTACGTAAAGTAGTTTATAATTACTAGAATCTGTTTCAAATAATTTGTACATTGTACTTTTTTTTTAAATAAGCGAACTAAAACGTAAAATGTTGAATTTAAAAGCAAGTGTCAAATTTCGCGAAGACTGACGCCGCGTGTATATAAATAAATCCCTTATTTATTTCTTTCTTGAGAAGGACTTTGGTACCACGTTTGGTAATAATACAGTAAATGTGCAACAATTCTTTTGGTTACATCAGTATTATCTATGAACAAATCGTTAAACTACAACTGCTACAGAAATTGATGAACTTTAGTCATGATAATGATTTCTTATATTTACGCGAACACTACACATTTAAAGAAAGAAGCGTAGTAGCGTTGATTAACTATGATATTGGGACATCATACACCTCAGTCCCCCCCCCCTCCCCGTGACCATGGGTGCTGTAAAGTGCTTGAAACGTCGGAAATATAAAATAAGTTAATATACGCGATAAAATTCGTAAAATTAGTTTTATTTAAATTTAGTCATGATTTAACTGTAAAGCGTATTACAGCTTAAGTCAATTTTTTAAATACTCAGATTCTTCAAAAAAAAAAAGATAAGCATTAAGATTTTCTCTAGTATCATTTATTGATTGTTTATTGCACCAAAGGTTTTGTACAAAAGGCGAGCTTAATGCTATATAGCATTCTCTACCAATTACCCTACTTCGTACATTATAACTCAATGGGTTTTACCGCATTTTATCGAAAACCACAAAATCTTTCTAGCATTTACACCTCCTTGGACACTCATGCTATGAAAAAAATGAGTGTGCAGCATGAACTTCTAACGCTGCCACTTACTTACTTGTTAGCCAACAAGCTAATGTAGTCAATGTTTTGATATATAAAATATACAGAGTTATTTTGCAATAACCGACCAAATTTGCAGAGAAGGTTCAGAATAAGTAATATAGGCAAATGGTGAAGAAAAATTGATTAAAAAATAACTTTAACTTTCTGTCCTTTTTATCTTTGAAATTGAAAATGCGTGGTAATTCATTATTTTTACAGATTTTACTGCGCACGCCCACATTCGTAAGGGTCGATCTGTAGGCAAAAACGTTGTTGCCCATAAATCACATTTAATTTGGGATATTTTGAAATAAAAGTGAAAGCCTTATTTACTTATTTACTTACGTATTTTCAAAATTTCCAATAACAGCATAGGCATCATCATTTATATACTTGAACATAAGTACAAAATTTGGCTACTCTTTGAAAAATAACCCTGTATATCAAAACTGCTTTATCCACAAGGTTTAAGTATAAATAAAAATTTTAAAAATATTACCTTGCAAGAGCTTCCATATTGTGCATCGGTTGGCCCTTTATGATGGATCCGTCAGGTCTAGGTACACCTGGATGCGGCATGCCCGGGGACATGAGTGCGTGTTGATGCATAAAACCCATGGGTCCCAAGTGAGTCGGTGGTGCGTTGTACCCGTTGGCGAGGAGCGGTGACTTCTCCATGCGGCTCATTTCTACTAAAAAAATATTATAGTCAACTTCTACATATAATGAAAAAAATATCAGTATTCTTAATTTTTTATAATCTGGTTATCCAAATTTGTCGAGGACATAAGATCATTTTTTACATATTTTTAAGATAAAATTAATGTTAACACTGTATTGTTACATTTATTTTATTAAAAATTTTGTTATAATTATTTTATTTAAAAAAATATTTAAAATTTTTACCTATGATAGGATAGTGGCAAAAATTAATACTCTCTCTCTCTCTCTCTCTCTCTCTCTCTCTTTCTCTCTTATTTACGTGTTGGCATGGTCATCTGACATAAACCGTACTCTATAACTTTATAACATTAAACGTTCACTAAATCTAGGAAAATATGCAAAACATCAGTCCAAGGGTTTTTAATAAAGAAGGCATGCCAAAAACACTTTTAACACATTTGTTTGACAATGGCGATAATTTAAAAAAGGGATTATTAATAGAATGAAATGAAAATCATCATAATAAAGATCTTATGGCAGGTGAGAACTCATGTTTTAGTTTGAATTAGTTTTACTCGTATATGCAAAAGTCATGCGATTTTGCGTATAATGTATTGCGCATGTAAACTACTACAAACGACGAAACAAATGCTTGGATGTTGAATAAATCTCAAGTTATCACTAAACAAAAAAGATTATAACATTTCAATGACACTGACAACACTCCAACAAAACTTGCGGCTCATTTTTGGATAAATATATTTCTATTTAGATCAACATTCCTTGTATATTACTAAATTTCCTTTGCATAAACTGGACGCGCATTTAAAAAACATTATTATGAAGAAAGGATATTACTTAAATAATGAAAATGTAACTTGCTAGAAATGTAATCTCTCAAAAGTCTCCCCACAGTAGAGACTTATTGAAGCCGCGGCGTAGTTTTCGGCTTTCAAAAATATTTGACTCTGACTTTATTTACGAAATTATGATCATCTAAATTCATGGAAATGTTGATTGGTGCCATTTCATGATAGAGAAATTGGCGAGAAAAACGTTTATGATATACTAACTGATGACAAAACTTGAAAACCCGAAACCAAAACAAACCAACAGTCGACTTAAGTATAACGTATGGTTCATCCTAATCGAGAATAGATGTGGATGACTACAAGCCACAGCTTACTATCTACAGCTACAGCTATACTATCAGGTTGACTGTCTGATTGTTTATCACCCTTATTCTATAATAAAAACTAAAAATACAAACGACAGACTTAATGCACTTTACTTAATGACACTGCATATACTAATACACTTCTTTTAATTCCCCTAATTTTATAAGACTTAGTAATACTTTAGATGTATGCTGTTCTTTGCCCATAGTTTATCTATAATATGCAATTTTTTTTTAAAATCCGATATATTAATAAACCAGTATTTTATAAAAAAATAATCTACGTTTAAAAATAAAATTGTAGATATCAAAATTTACAATTAATTTAGTTAACTACTAAACTTACAAATATTTAGATAACTGTTTAATATTATAATTAACTTCCGCAAAGTAACGACGTTATTATTTTGAATGTAAGACTTTTTCCCATAACTTGAAGGCGTTTTACAAACATATTAAATTATACCTATAAAAAAATTGTGGGCCATACAAATACTAGTTTCGAATTAAAACGTCTAACTAATGCGCTACCGAGCCGTCCATTAAATTAAAATTAAAAAGCGCAACAGAAAAAAAAACACTTTCCGATAAAACGGTTGAACTTATGTAAATTTTACAACACGTCCTCGAGTCGGGCACAAATTAGGTAATCGATACAAAAGCGAAATCGTTGATAAATTCCCAAAATTTGGCGTAACAAATGGCGCACCACTTTAACGAAATATCGTACCTGCTCAGGTAAAATCCAATTAATGGCCGGTATTATCATTTAATTACCCGTTCCAATAATCGAATCGACCGTAAACGGTGAATCAACAATAATAAAATGAGCAATGAATTTGAGACTATTGTTTTCTGGGCACCACAAACAACCCATGTAAACATAGGGGGTGTTGGACAAATATTCTTAAAATGACCCCCTCTTCAAGGGAGTTTTGGAGGTTTTCGGGTGGTCTTCGGACGTCCACGAGCCCCCACTCTCGAGGTCACCAAACGGACAGGGGTGTCGGAAACAATTAACAAGGTGTCGAATTATACACGAATTAACGTTCAGACCGTTAAAGGAAAATACCCTTTTCCATTGTGGCAACGGTCTACAAAGGATTTGAGGATTGCTGAGTATTCAACGTGTGTTTGGCTTTGTTATGTTATTAAGAACACAGGTTAACGCGACAACAACACAGACGTGGTATAAGCCGCATACATCAAATAGAAAACGATTAAAAAGTTAAAATTTATATTATTTATGTGTATGTATGTATTTAAATATATAATAAGTAGGATATTAATTATTGCCACGACAACATGGCGATGTCCGCTATGGACAGAGCAGGTACTTCAGGCTAGGCACAAAATTTAGGATACATTTGTGCAAACACACTTGATTTTTAGTACTGGTTGTGTTATATATTACATCGAGCACTGGTAGTTTAGGCTGAGATAAAACTAGCTGTTCTTGCAAAGTTGTAACCATAGAGACACTATTTTACGTTGAGTCTTATATGGGCTGGTGGAAAATGCCACCTAGGTTTCTTATGTCTTTTTATTGCATATAACAAAGAAGTTGAATAATTTACCAGCATCTATCTTTTCATGCGATTAGAATCAAGGCACGAGTTATGCTAATGTCTTAAAGAGTTGGGTTTTATTAGAGTATTTACAAGCAAGTAATGCTTCTAAATACTCGAAGGGTTTTATTACGTTAAGACAGTGGACAAAAGAGCGCATCTGCGTTTGCGCATACACTTGTTCCAATATAACTGCCTAATATCTCTGCTATGAATTAGCAGGTGGCCACTTTCAATTATTTGTTGTTGGTTTGGTCCAAAAACAGTTAATAAGACTTTTTAATTATTTATGAATGTTATAATTTAATATGCTATATGCGAACGATTAAAATAAGACTGTCAAACTAACATAAATCGCACTTCAAGTTCGTTGTGAAGCATGTGCGAACAATTATTTTATTTTAATATATGAACGCCGTATGCAAAACAAAAAATGTAAATGATGTTGCAATAGCTTAATGTCATTACAATTAGAAGACGAAGACTGCAAGTGAATGCAATGAGCGGAAATATAATAACTATTCGCAATATACTTTTAAACTTTTGATATTTTATCAAAAAAGGACAAGTAAAAAAGAAATTAGAAACATGCCGTTTTATTTATAATGATTTAAGAATATAAGAAAACAAAAAGTACCTAATCAATATAATGACCTTAAAAATATGAAAACATTTTTTATCTATGACACTTAATAAAAATATTTATTTTAATTTATTTTCAATAATGTTGAATTGACGGCGAGTCGTAACGAGGTGATGCAAATTGACGGTTAGAAAGCGAAATCTTCAGTTAATCCAATTCTTATCCTGCACTCTTAGTATAATATAGTCATTCTGCGTGCGTTTCATTTTGGTCATAGTTTTTTTACGTTAATTTTTTTTTAATTTACTATGTTAAGTCACACCAAACTTATATTTCGGTGTCAATGATAATATAATATATCATTTAGTTCACTGTAACATTGACCATTTTACTGAAAAAAAATTAATAAAATTTATTTATCATAACTTATCTTACAACACTGATGGCAAGTAAATAATATTACGTTTGTTGTAAACTACACAAAGCAATATTACTCATACTCTCTTCACAACAAAACAGTACTCAGACATTAACTAAGTAACAAACAAACAAACATCATGACCAATGGACCCTGAATTAATTGACCGGGTTTATTTACTTAGTTAACCGCTTCGGTTATCTTCTGAGCCATACACCGGTTAAAATTTAGATTCGTGGCGAGTGTATATTGTGTTTTATGTACACACATCTACGATTAGTTTTCATTTTGATTTGAGTCAAGCCTGATTTTATAGTAATAACAAATAAATATTTCATGCATTTTGAGTGTATAAATGAATTAATAAAAATAATTGTAACTTTTAGCTTTTAAAGAGTGTATAAACATTATATAACCTTTTCATCAATTTCTCTGACAGTAAATTTCCAATAGTAACGCATTAATGACACTATGTTTGTATAATGTTGATTTTCCTTTAAGGAGAAAACATAAATAAGAACTTTACATGCAAGGTTATTCATCATCGAATACTTTATTATATTTTTACGTGGTAGAGCCATGCTGCATCTATATTAGTAGTATAGTTGTAGCACGAATGGGTCGGCTCGACCGGAGAAGGGCCACGCTCTCACAGAATAGCAGCGTCAAATAGCAGTTTAACACTGCTGTGTTTCGTATGGTGAGTGTAGAGAACCGGAGACCCTTTTTACTGGAAAAGAGGCATTCCATCTTAGTCCTCACGAGTGACAACGCATCTGCATTTTGATTCGCAAACGAAGATAAATGTAGGTGTCCATGGGCCACAGCATCCACTTACCATCAGGTGGACTGTGTGTTCGTTTGTCACTCGATACTATAAAAAAATTTTTTTTTCTAAGAATATAATCGCTAACGCGTTTCAGTCAACCTGATGTTGTTGCAGTTCAAGGATGCCTGCAGCCAACTATAACTGACAACCTACAACCGAACACACAAAATACTACAAACGTGTTGTCTGTCAATCGTAAGATGGAACGCCTTAGCATAATCAATACCAATTTTACATCCCCATCAAATCAGTGAGTCAGTCGGCTCCGTGGCGCAGTGGCTTAGCAATGAGTTGTTGCGCTGGGGCCGCGGGTTGGAATCCCGCACGGAACAAGGTATGGCCTACAAATAATTGTTCCGGGTCTGGATGTTTGTCCTCGTGCAATTTATGTTTGTAAACTGCCTCCACGATACAGGAAAAAATCCTAGTGTGGGGGTAGTGTTTTTAAAAA